AAAAAAGTGACCAGTGTCCATTGAAGGTTTAGTCTCTGCAATAATCTGAAATGGGTTCAAGTGTTTCGAATTTAAAGATGTATGGAGACCATATTGGAGCAGAAGGAAAGGGGGGTATAAAGATTGGGACAAAAATGGACTGTACAAAGTAAGGGGGGAGGGGAAAAGTGTAAGGGGCTGGAGGAAGTTTTTGGGGGGGGGGGGGGAAGAGGGAGAAACCTGGGAGGGGGCAGAAGAGGGGGAAAAATTGGGGGGGGGACGGGGGGGGAAAGGGATAGTATGAGGCGAGGGGGAATCTCCCCACTTGAATAGAGCCCGAGAGAGGGGAAGAACTAGGTACAGAGACTGGAAAGTAAAGTGTGGGGTGGAAGAAGGGGGAAGGAAGGGGTAAAGAAGATTTGACAAGTGGATTTTTTTTGGGTTCTGAGTAAGGGGGGATTGGGATTAGGTGTCTACGAGGTCTTGTCGATACTGGGGCTTGTGGGAGGCGCGAAGATGTGAGAACGAAGAGTTTAGTCGGGATTCAAGCCAAGGACAGCAAAAGGTTTAATGCCCCTGGGCAGGGAGGGGTAATAAAAAGGACGTGCAGAAAATGGGACCCCCAAAAAAGGGGGGGATTTTTTGGAAACAGAAATAAGAAACACGGGGGGGTCTCCCTTGGGGGCGGAGATAGTAATGCCCAAACTAAGGGGAAAACTTCTGCCCCTTTGAGGGGAACGGATTTCCTTCATTTAAGTAGCCGGCAAGGCGGGAACAAAGGTGAGCTTCATTAAATTAAACAAAAGGAGGTTGACTGCAAGAGTATTTGAAAAGGGGCAGCACCACAGATGGGCATTCGGCCATAGACCAATATTTCCTGGGTGACCAAAAAGCCACAATTTTTACAGTTGCGGTGTAGGGATCACCTTTCGAAATTGTAACCGATTCCCGCGACATATACAAGGGCGGGAGTTCTCGGCGTCAAAAGTTAAACAGCCACATTGAAGGGTAACGTCTCCCCCCCCGGGCAAAGGACAAAGTGTCTACTTTGAGAATGGGAGATCCTGGAGTTCCAGCTGTTCAAAAAATTCATTTCCCATGACTGGAAAACTGTTTGGACTATGGTATGGGGCAAAAAATGACAACCCTACAAAATTGAGAGAAAGATTTTTTATAGTGATAGGAGTGTATCGATATTTGAAAGGGGAAAAAAGATATGACTTGGGGAGCATTTTGGACAGTGACGTGCCATACCCTCTTTAGGCATAAATGAAAAATCTCTCCAACATGACGCAGGCGCTTTTCCAATATAGGTCAGAAAGGTAGGCAGAAGAAAAGTCGGTCTTAAGTAAAGAATTTTGTCCCCTTGTGTGGTCCGAAACGAGCGTGGGGAGGGTGGGTTGACGGTCGGGCTTTTCCACTAGAATGGGAAGGAACGAAGGAGCATCATCAGGAATTGACGTTGGCGTTTTGGAGTAGGACCGGGGGGGTTGGTCCCCGGGGGGAAAGGGCGGGCAATTTGAAAATTTCCGTAACTAGAGGGAGAAGCCGGAAGCAAGTCAAAGGAGAGCAGGTTCAAAAATCGAAAGGGGCATCGAAGCCCCCCTACCTGAAGCGGGTGAGGGGAAAAGCACCAGCAAGAGTACGGGGGATCGGATTTTCCAAGTGGTCAACACAAGCAGGGCCGAAAGGGGGGCGGTACAAAAAAGGGGGGCCCGGGGAAATGGGTTTATGGATAAAGGGCTGCCATGGTTAGGTTACTCCTTTCTTTTTTTTTTAAGAAAAAAAAAGAAAGAAAAAAAGAAAAAAAAAATAAAAAAAGAAAAAAAAAAGGGGGGAGCGGGGGGAAAAAGTTCCCAGGAGGAATGAAAAGGGCCGGAAATCCCCTCCCGCCCCAAAAGGGCCCAGCACCGCTATACCAGATGCGCATGGAAAAACCTTCCCTCCCACCCTTCAAGCCAAAACCCCAAACCGGGATACAACCTCACATCGCGATCACCCTGGACAAAAAGAGGGCCAATATCCCCCACAAACCATACCTCCCTTTGGCCCCCACCCCCGGAAAACTAAATGGCTTCCAGAAACACCCGTCGCCCGAAAGACACCCAAAGCACTCCCGGGTACGGGGAGGGATGGGACATCCCCAGCAATTCGATTCCCCGGCAAAAATACGCCACCGCCAAGAACCTCAACGGAAGGATGGACCCCCGGTGTCCCTTTTTCCCTACCTAGGAACTAGCGCGCCTTTTGGGGGAAAAACCCAAAGGAAAAAGAGGAAGGGCAAAAGGGAGGGGTGGGGGGGGGAGGAGGAATTTAAAAAGGGGAAAGGTGGGATGGGGAGGGGAAAAATGGAGGGGGAATTAGGTTCATCGAGGAAAAAGACCGACAGTGCTAAATTCCTCAGACCAAAAGCCTCTTCACCCGCCCAAGGAGCCCCCTTGAAGAGGATCTAAAAAATAATAAATTTTTACACGGTGTGTACAAAAATAAGCATGCCACCATGTCACTCCTTCACTAAATGTTACTGGGGCTTGCACTTTTAAAAGCACACAAATTAAAAAAAAAACTTTTATTTACTCATTACATACTCACCCAACTTGTTTAATGTCTAAATTCCTAACACTCAAAATTTCCATACCCCCTCCCCAAACCCTTTAGGGGTACTCCTACCCCTCTTTCCCCCACTAAAATTTTTTCCTTCCTCTCTAAATGCCCAAAAACATCGTGGGAACTAAACCCAACGGATCATATAGCACGAGGAAATGGAAGGTTTTTGGGTTTATTCAAGGAAATGGAGCATTGATCAGTTCCTTTGGGCAAAGTGTCCCCCTCACCACATCAAGGAACCCTTTCCCTTTAGGGGGCTAAATATCAAACCACCCTAATATAGTTTTGGTAACCCCAACCTGCTAATCTCCAGGGTTTCGAACTGTCTGCACAAAATTCACACCTTCACTGCCGTCAAAAAAAGCATCTCCACTGCCTTTCAGCCTCCTCCTTTCTGTAAAATTTTAAGGGCCCCTGCTTTACAACAATAGCAGTTGGTACCCCCCAAACTTTTTCTACAATTTTCCCCTTTTTTTCCCCGTGGTAATGTTCTTCATCCCACCGATGTCCGAAGCACTGGCCCCCCCCCCCGTTTTTCTTATTAAATAGTTATTAAAAAATTTTTTTTTCCATTTTTTTAAGAATCAGTTTTCTGGTAATCTTTCTCTAAAATTTTTTTTTAACACATCAGCCAGTTCCCAAGGCAGGGTGACAAAAAAAAAAAAAAACTTCCATCATCATTCAACACTTTCACCATCACTCATACATAATCATTGTCTTGACAGAGGTGCTCAGATATAACAGTTTAGATGTCTCTCCAAACTGCCAATATCCCAAACCCCTCCTTCCAAGTGCAGGCATTGTACTTCCCATTTCCAGGACTCAAGCCCGGCTAACTGGTTTCCCTGAATCTCTTCACGAAATATTACCTTGCTCACACTCCAACAGCTCATCAGGTCCCAAAAACCATTCGTCTCCATTCACTCCTATCTAACACGCTCACACACGCTTGCTGAAAGTTCAAGCCCCTCACCCACAAAACCTCCTTTACCCCCTCCCTCCAACCTTTTCAAGGACCCATACCCCACCTTCCTTTCCCTACAGATTTATATGCTCTAAGTCATTCTACTTTGTTCCATTCTCTTTAAATGACCAAACCACCTCAACAACTCCTCTTCAGCCCTCTGACTAATACTTTTAGTAACTCAACACCTCATAATTTCCACACTGTGAATTCTCTGCATAATATTTACACCATACATTGCCCTTAGACAGGACATCTCCACTGCCTCCTCACTGCAGCATTTACAACCCATGCTTCACACCTATATAAGTGTGTTGGTACCACATTCCCTTTGCCTCCATGGATAATGTTCTATGTCTCCACAGATACCTCAACGCACCACTCACTTTTTTTCCTTCATCAATTCTATGGTTAACCTTATCCTTCATAAACCCATCCACTGACAATTCAACTCCCAAATATCTGAACACAGTCACTTCTTCCATACTCCTTCCCTCCAGTGTGATATCCAATTTTTCTTTATCTAAATCATTTGATACCCTCATCACCTTACTCTATGTTCACTTTCAACTTTCTACCTTTACACACCCTGTATATAAAAAATTAGGAGCAAAATCAGTGAACTTTAGTTTTTACAAGCCAGTTTAATGTCAATGCTTCCTTAACAGTCTTTGCATTAAATGTTTGATAAAATAAATCCAGTACCTGTATCTAAAATAAACTATAAAGCTCTAAATGTACAATTACAGGTTCCTATAGGTTATGAAAATAAACACTACACAAGACGTTATATGAATTGTGTTATTGTACAGTAATTTACATCAAACATTCAATAATCCATTTTTCAGTTCTTCTGAAGATGACTGATGTCTCTTAGTGCATCCAAAATTAATTCTTCCTTTTCTGCCTTCTTTCTTTTGTATTCCAATTTCTTTGCTGCTCTTTCTGCCATATACAGAATATGTTGTTCCATTTTATCTAATCGCTTTTTTCCCATCTGAAGGTTATATTCCAAGAAGACTTTTGTTATATCAGAAGTGCCTTTGAAGGGCTTTTCATCCATCAGTGTAGCTGGTGCTGTGGCCTGAGTTGCAAAAACTGTATCCCCTTCATGGTGTAGAATGGTAACAGGTGCTGTAGACTGCTGTCCAATTTCAGGCTGAGTGGCAAGAGGAGCTGGAGGTGCTGGACGGACTACCCGAACAGGAGGATTATCATCTGCAGATTTCTTGAGGGTAGATGTTTTTTTTGTTGTCACCAACTTACTCATTTTTGGGCGACTCACATCATCAGCATTAGGTTTTGGAGCTAGTGGTTCAGACGACTCGGAAAGAGGCACAGCAAGAACATTTGTACCCAAGAGATCATCCAGCACCTATATATAAAGTAAAATGATAATGAATTAAATAATGCAGTATTATAGTACTGTGTTATTAATTTTAGTTGCTTAATGCAGTAATTGCTTTCAAACCTAAGGTGCATATTTGTTACATTTATATTAAGTTTATTAGTAAAGTACCACTTTCAATTACCAATTAAAGAAAAAAAAACTAGGACCATACCCCAACTTAACCCCTTCAGGGTCCAAGGCCCAAATCTGAAGTGGTGCCCCAGTGTCCAAGAATTTTCCCAAAAAAAAAAATGTTATTTTTTCTTATGAAATGGTAGAGAATCTTTTTGTGAAGGTAATAAAACAAAAAGTATGAAATTTGATGGAAAATTGACGAAATTATGCTCTCGCGAATTTTGATGTGTCAGCGATATTTACGAATTGGCGATTTTGCCGACTTTGACTCCCATTTTAGGCCAATTACATTATTCCAGTCAACCAAATTCTTAGCTATTTCACTAGTATTACTTCTATTCTATCAATTGAGCACAAGAAATCGCCACGTCAACTGTTTCAACTACAAAATAAAGTGATCGGAAATTGGTAATTTGGCCAATTTAACAAAGTTCAAAATATTCCAATTTCAAAATAGGGTCCAGAATAAACAATGTAGGTATTCCTGGAACTAAACTAACATTTCCTCTGTTCATTAGTTACGTTTTGAGGCTTTACAAATAAATTCCATTTTGATTTTTTATTCACATAATGAATTTTATTCACACCAAAAATAGAAGATTTGCTGTTATGCAATACTGTAATAATTGTATAACTATCATCACCATATTTGTGAATGCATATTAGACCCACC